TGCTGGCCCTTTCGTTTACTAGAAAAGTGTGCTTGCACACTTTTCTAGTAAACGAAAGGGCCAGCAGCTTTTAAGTATACAATACTTTGGTATTTTATATTCTCTTTCTAATTGTTCAGTGACCTAGCAGTACCAGCTGGGATCACCAACCAATTAGGATTGACCATAAAATACTACAGTTATTGCATGCTTCGCATGCAATAACTATTTATTATTAATATTATAATAAGTTTAATCCAAATATATCTATACCTTTTATATTTATATCAACAAAAACTTTACTAAAAATATTTGTATTCAAAATATAGTTATTAAGGTACTAATCCAAAATTATTTGTATTAGTATAATTATATCTATACTATATTATAAAAAAATTCCTGTATAATATTTAGCTGCAAGGTAATATTTAGACTACCCTGTATAAATTGTTAATTCAATTATGTAACTATAGATCATACTAATTATTTATTTTTATATTAAAAACTAATTTTTTAAACTTTAAAGAAGTTTTTAATAAAAAATTTTTCTTGAGCTTCTAATTAAGGCCATTCAAAATATTTTTTGTTTTTTATTATTTTTTATATAAAACAATATATACCGGGTTGTATGTGAGTTATAAAAGCAAAATTTAAAATCTAAAATTTTATTATTTTTTATATAAAAAAATATGTACTGGGTTATATGCAGGTTATATGTAACAAATTAACAAAGAAACTTTAAATTTTATTAGTATTCACCAATTGACTAACCATATATTAAAATGTAATACAATATATCAAATATTCATTATGCGACTAGAAAATCTATTATTATACTAACTAAAGATCATTACAGGACCCTGGACTTGCATTCAATTTATTCAATTTGCTCGCTTCAAACATTTATTACAAGTTCAGATCTTTGTTATATTTCAATCTACATAAATATAGTGAATTGTTGTTTATTATATTAGTTATTTTTTAATATAATATTCAAATATAATATATTATATAATATTATCAAACATTAACAATAAAGATCTTAAAATATTAATTTCCTACTAGTACGAACGAAATCCGTTTGTATTTTATTAGAAGCAAAATTGAATATCTGTAACAATTATTACTAACTATATATTATATCACAAAAGTGTGTTTAAGCCTTATAGAAAATCTTTTTACTTTTTCTTTTACCAAAAGAGCTTTTTTTCTAGTATTTAGTTGAACTATTCATAGCAGCACAATTTTTACATATTGGTAGTATTTTATTTGATATAGACTGAGCAATATTAGGATCTCTACATAGATGACAAATGCGAGAGTAGATTTTGGCAAAATAATATAGCTTTTCTATCAAGGAATCACATATCCAGAAGTCGTTAACAAAAACTTGATTGAAGATTTCTCGAATAGGATTACTTTCTACATCTTTGGTACTTTTGTTATCAGGCTCTTTAGGGTAAGATTCTTCTAAATTATTGCTTTTTTCTTGATTGGCTTGTTTAATTGGTTTGCTATCACTATTTTTGATATCTTCAACATCACTAATAGCATGTTTAAAATAATAATCTCTAGGACTAGCAACCAAATTTATTTCATCATTGTTGTTATCATGTTTCTCGAAAAATATATCTATATCATGATATTCAGTTGATTTTATTGTTGTGGCAGATAGCAATTTATTGATACTTGAATTTACTTTGTTATTATTGTCATATTTATCTGAAAGTATATTCTCTTCATTATGTTGAGTTATTGGTGTGGCAAGTAATAATTCTCTTATACTTTTAAATATTGTACTATATATATATAGGATAGTGTTAAGAAATCATGCAAGTATTTGATGGTTTTTATCTGATAGTTTTTTGGAGCTAAATAAGAGCCATGGCTTATTATATTCCATGCAAGTAACAGTAATTCTGATATTTTTAACATGCAGCACAGAAGGATAGAAAGGCATTATATGATTAACTTTTCTTTTTTTTTACTTTCTTTTTGATTAAACTTTGTTTGAGATGCTGCTATTTGGCATAAAGGTCAATAATTTTCTGTTGTTGTAGTTTCATAAAGTTCTTTAAAGGGCTTATAATGAAGATCTTCTTCTGGAATTAGATCAGAAAGATAATGAAGTTGGGAGAATATCTCAGGTGGGCATCGGGGTGATAAGCAAATTGTACAATCACTTTTTTTACATTTTTTTATTGTGAAAAAATAATGTTTTGCTATACAACAATGATTAAAGAATTTCTTCAAATGTGGTCTTAAAAGTCATAGTTAGTATTTGTTTGTATTTTGATTAATAATATATATTTACCTTATTATTTATATATTTTTTTGTGTAGTCATCATATGTTATTGTATCATCAACCATATTAATATTTTTTTAAAACTTTTTAATATCCTCATCAGTTGTTGCACTAAATATTCTAAATAGTTCACTTTTCAAAAATTGCCATTCAAATATCTTGTGAACAAGATAAATTGGGTCCTGGATACTTTCGATAAGTTTATTTTTAAATATCAGATTTGATTCAGCTATTTCTTGTATCTCTTTCATAGTATTTACTTTGCTAATAAGTTTTTCATATTTATCTTCTATCTTGATATGCATTAGTCCAACACATTGCAATCTAAGGTTAAGTATTGACATAATACATTCTACAGGGTTTTTCCAGGAATATGAGATGGTGTTCTTACTGCTACAAGGTAGTCAAGATCAAACGACAAAAAAAAACAAATATATGATAATTGGATCTGTAAGAATATGTATCAGTGGTCTGGACCACCATTCGTATAAAGACACAAAACAAGATTAATTTCCTTCTGAATTGAAAGAATATGATAAAGCTCTGTCATATGATGTAAAGAAGAAGAGGGTTGGAAAATTGGATTTTTTAATCTGATATTTATTTTTCCTTTATAAAATTACTATTTATAGTTTCAGGAATATCACAGAGCATCATAATACTTGGAACCATCCTGATCTTGGTATAATTATGATCACCTACTATATATGATATATCTTTCTAATTATTACTCTTTTAACTCTTTCTATTGCTGCTACAGGATATTCTGGTTTTCCAATTTTATATTAATGTTTGTCATCAAAAAATGCAAGTGTTGTTACATTACGAAATTTAATAGTGAATTCTTTTTCATACCAGAATAGTACAGATACGTAGTGAGCATCTAGGTGGCTAACACATAGTTGTCAGGACTGTACTATGAATTTTAGCAGTAAGCAGCCCATATATTGCAAGCTACTTAGGTATCTAGAATTTTTTGGCCAGAATTGTAGTCTAAGCTACTGAGTACTTGGAATCAGTGTATTGAGTAAATATTCATTTTTAATTTGCTGAAACAAATTATTTACTGAAATAGCTATAGCCAAATGCACAATTGAGTCATAGTGTCTCTCATTAACCGCAATTACCAACTCAGCAGCTTTTTCTGCAAGAAAATATGCGGCTAAGTCCCAGAACGTATCATATTTTCTGGTCTTCCTTCATTATACTCTTGTAGATCAATTGTGATATCCGAATCACCAAGTTTTAGAGCAAGTTTTACTCGTGTATCTATTTTTTTTTATTTGATGTTTCAGTGGCCGATGTGTCTCTAGTTAAAATTTGATAAATCATCTGCAATAGTGCTAGTTTAATATTTGGCAGTAACAAGTCACAAATACATAAATAATTGGCTTTTATGATATATGAATAGTATTGAGGCACTTCATCTTCCAACTTTCTTATGATTCTTGTAGTTTCTTGTATTTTTTTTGTTTCATTAACATCTTCAATTTTTCATATTGAAATTGTATTATACGCATTATTTTTAGAATTATAACAGTACTCTCTAATTTTAAACATAAATGCTTGAGAAAGGCCTTTTATGAAGTACAACCTTTGTCTAAAAAAGCTAAGTATAAATACCGTAGATTCTCGAAAATAAGCTACCTTTTTTTGGATGATTTTGAGCTCAAAAAATCAGAAGTAGCTTATTTTCAGGACATAGAAGATTTTAAGCAATAAAAAAATTCTCATACATATAAACTTGTGTAAACAGGTTTGTATGTACTGTATATACATATTCAAGAGCCAGCATGTGCATTATTAAAATATAGTATCTATGACATATTTGGCACTATATTTAATAAAGCACATGCTACCGGTAGCATACTGGGGTGTATTCTATTGGTTGATTTACAAATATAGTGCAGATGATATAGCAATGATTATATATTAAATTATTATAAAAAAATCGATTTACTTTGCCTTTAATTTCTCTCACAATATTTAACATTTTTAAATTCTATAAAAGCAAGATGTTTAATGAAAAGTGTTTTTATAAAGTAATAACGTTAAAATTTTATCTTACTAATTGAAATATATTACAGCTTACCTGAGTATTTGCTATTATACAATTTACCATGATCATATAGTAATTTATTGCCTAGGTTTTCTTATAAATTTAAAGTGCATATTAAGAGAGCTTCGGCAAATATAATTTTATTTGTACATGCTTATTAGATCAAAAGTTATAAAAGATTAGATTTTTTAAAAATTCAGCTATTGATTTACTATGTAGCTCGCATGTGGTCTGCATTATATTTGTAAATCATGTAGTAGCAGACACCCAGATAAGCTGTAACATATTTCAATTAGTGAGATAAAAATTCTAATATTATTACTTTGTAATGATACTTTTCATTAAATATCTTGCTTTTATAGAATTTAAAAATGTTAAATATTGCGAAAGAAATTAAAGGTGAAGTAATGGAATATAGATCCCAAAATTTAATTATAAAAAAAATTATATATGATCATCATTATATAATCTGCACTATGTTTGTAAATCAACCGATAGGATACACCCAGTAGCATATACATATATTTTTATTTTATAACATTTTTTTTTTTAGCGTACTTATTTATTTTATTTTATATATTTTTTTTAAATTATTTTTTTAAATTATTTTTATTTAAATAACGGTTTTCTTTAATTTTTCTTTTTTTTAAATTATTTTTTAAATTATTTTTATTTAAATAACGGTTTTCTTTAATTTATTTTTTTTTTAAATTTTAATTTAAAATTAAATTTTTTTTTAATTTCAAGTTGATAGTAGATCAACAGATCGAAAAAACAGCAAGCAATGATCACATAAGTAATCCCAGTTCTAACAAGAGAATCCGGTATATACAAGGAGGAAGATAAGTATAGATTTAATGAAATTACTAATTTAGGAGTTTATGGTGTAAATACTAATATAACCAAATTTAGCAAAAATGTATGACAATAACATAAAGACATAAAACAGAAGAGTAATGGATAGTTTTTAGAAGTAAGTATGTGTATATATGCAATAGTAGAAATAAAATAATCGATTATTCTCACCATTGCATATATATACTAGTGTGATCTATTATCTGTTTTTCATTTAAAATTTACAGATATTTGAGCAATGACAAAAAGGAGATAGATTTTCAGAACAAAAAATTTTATTATTGTTTTGTTTTGAAAAAAGCGAGGTAGCTTATTTTCAGGTGAAACAAGTTTTTAGGTTTTTTGGTCAAAACCAAGAAGGTAGCTTATTTTCGGAGTAGCTTATTTTCAGGAATCTACAGTATTATATGTATAATAAATAGTAATATATTGGTATAACAAGCTTATATTAGTTCTATTAGTAGATACTCATCAAGATTAATTAGTTTCTATGGAAGAATACTCTGTAATATATTTTTGATCCTTTTATATTTAGATTTGATATATGTATCTACCAAAATATTATGATTGTAGATATTTATTGATGTTCTTTTTTTAATGCTTCTAACAGAAACTTTGCTTAAATGATTTAGGGTTACTATTTCTTGTTGTTTAAGTAAGTATTTTATATATTTAGAAATTGCAATTATAAGTTTATTATATGCATCATATAACCAATTAAAGCTTGATGATTATATCTATGATAATGTAGCATGCAAAGCAAGTGCTTAACAATTAAAATTAAGCTCATTAGCATCGAATAGTTTTTTGGTCTCTCTATATGATTTAGGGCTTGCTCGGCCAAGAAATTCATCAAATAACTGAGATATATAAAAGCCTCTTTCTTGTAATTTTACATTATCGTGTATGTCTATATACCAAAGTGCATATAACAATATGATGATAAACTGTTTTCCCTTATTATCTGCAAGTTTTTTTGTTTGCCAACCACTTTCATATTGCTAAATCCATTTTACTATATCTAAACACAATAGTTACTTATGATTTGATTTAAAGAATATGAAAATTGGGAAATATAACGTTGGATTGACAGAGTTGACTACATAATAATATCAAATCTGTTTTTATATATATGCGAATTATCTGAATATAATTTATCATTGCAAAGATAATAATGGTCATTTTTGCTAAATTCTTTCGTAAGTTCAATAATCTTACAATCACAGTTTGTTTCAATTTTTTCTGCATTAGTCATCTTACTTATTTCAATCTATTTTATTCTCTTAAAATCATTTATTCTGATTGATATATTTGGCGATATTTCTTCATTAATAAGCTTGTAAAAAAATTTTTTAATCGTCATCTTATATGGAACTGGATGTATATACCATCCGTGCAATATTTTTTCATTCTTTAATATATGCATATTTACAAAAAACATGTTTAAGACAAATTTTATTTCATTTATTCAATATTTATTTATTTTAAAGAGAACTTTATAGTATTTTTAACTTATAACTTTATTTTTTTAGAAAATTCAGGGCGATTATAATTATTTGAATATAATAGATACAAATATACATCTGCAAATTTTATACGATTTTTCATGTGTGATATCATCACCATTTACAACTTAATATTCTCGCAAGCATGATAATCTGTGCTTTAAGCAGAATTGTTGATATAGTTCAAATATGTGATAATACCAAAAGATTTTAACCCAAAAAGATTATAACCAAAATTAGGTTTTTTCTATCCCTTTTCATCATTTTGATATTTTTGTTGATGGTCTTATGATATGCTTAAATACCTATCTTTTTTTAGGGTGAAAGTTGATCTAATCTTAAAGAATTTTTTGTAATTAAAGGTTTGAAATTTAAAAACATGTGTTTATCTTTTTTATTTTTTCTTCTTGCATTAGTATTTTCTAATGAATCTTTTTTTTTTTTTTTACTTACAATACAACAAAGCAGGATTAAATATAGTAGTTGGATTTTTTTTAGTAAGTACTATTTTTAAAATTTACAGTGAATAGCACACTTCACTTGACTTGAAATTGGATAGAAGAACTGATTTGTTGATAAATACTTTTTCATTTTTTGGAATTTGATAATGAAACTGATCTTTCAATAAGTACTAATTTTTTCACGTTTTCCATCTTGCTTTTTTTTTTCTGTAGATCGTATCTCATAATTGACAGCATTAGTCTGGCAGAAACGCAAGATTATATAAATAATACATATTTTGACATGGGTTTATTATTTCAAGTTATTAATTTTTTTTTTTTTTTTATAGAGTATAATTATTTTTCAATATAAAATCGATGATTAAACGTTGAGGCAAGTAGTTGTTGATTCTGTTATTTATTTTTTATAATTGTATTACCCTTAGACAGTTAATTTAATTTAAATATACTACTATAATCCAATATAATTTTATAGTTTAACCACAGATCAATCATGAAATTTTTAGGCAAATTTGTCTGTAAAACTGCTTAAGAGATTTTTGTTTTTTTTTGTTTTTACGGATTTTGGGCAAATTGGGTAGGTTAATTTTCTGCTATTATCTTGTTTCTTGCATTATTTTCTTACTAATATCTACTTTTATTTTCATAATTCGCACACTCAAATTACAATATTAGTAAGACCCGGAATGAAGCTATTCTAAAATAAACAATAAAATTGATTTATAAATATTACAGTGATTCGTAATATGATAGTATTTAGAATTAATTTTTGTAAATTGCCAGATACAAGACTCGGGTCTGTTACATTTCACTGATTTTTTAAGACCCTTTGATTGATCCTGTGTAGTGTTCCTGTTTGATAAAAATTTTGCCAATCGATTAGTTGCTATTTATAGTTTCAACTAATCGATTTTAACTAAATTTGCAAATTGACTAATCAAACTAAAGGTCAATATGAATTAGCCTGACTAGACTAGTTGTTTTTAAATTTTTCTAAATCAATTAGTTGGAAAGTTGTCAACTAGTCGACTTTTAACTAAATGATTCAGATCGCTAATCTTTAACATAGTATATAGCCAAGTTTATATTATATAATTTGAAATATACATATTTATAACAGATTTTTGAAAAGAATTGCATTTTATTAAAAAAGATTCTGGATTTGTGGCTGTGTATAGTATGTAATAGATCTACTAGAGTATTTTATCTGGCTATTTAAAATAATATTATATAAAAATTATCTAAAGCCAGATAGTTTTTAAATTGATTACTATATAACAAATTTGTAAATTAAAATTTTGTGATATATATAAATTACTAAGTATATATGTATCTGACTTTAGATGATCCCTATATATAAATATCTGTGTTTGACTCACCAAACTGTTGGTATAATGACTGGCATATTGTGTTTGCATATATTTCTTTTTTAACGTCATTACGCATATTTTTTATTGTAGTTTATTTAGTGCTTCGATCCTATTTTTGATAGGAAATCCAAATTTAGATTGAATCCACATTGAATTATATAGTATATAGTTCTTTGATCTGAATATCTAAATATATTTGAATTGAAGAAGCAATTCAAAATATTGGATTTAAGATTAAAGTTCTGGTTTATTACTATAAAATTTTATTGTAAATTACTAGATCTTGATTTTTTAAATTACTTTTTTAAATTTTTAATTTATAAAATTTTTAAAGTGTATTAATTGAAAATTGGGCAGTCAGGTCAAATTATAAAGTTTATATTATGAGAAACAATAAAATAATTTTATATAACCTAAAGTTATAGAGAAGATTTTTCTGGTTCTAATGATGTTTAGATCATTAAAATCAGCTTAATAGATCCCAAGATATTTGGAATTAAAGATGCGAATATACGGATCTACAAATTAGTAGTTACACAAAGTATTATAGTTTATAATACTATATTTATATCTTTAATTTTAAATATCTTGAGATTTACTAGTC